GTTTCCTTTCTTTGCTTCTCTGAATCCCATTCCCAAAGACATCTGACGCCTAGAGCCCTGAATTCGTTTGTGACTCCTTCCCCGCCCAAAGAAAATGAGATTATGCCAATGCCTTGAATGAGTGCAGTTGTTTTGAGATTTACACTTCAGCGGGAACCAGGGGAGAGGGCCTTCTCATTCCCCGCCCCCGCCCAAACCTCTCTTCACCTTCTCCGAGGTGAGTACTCTCGTTTTCTTTCTCGCCCGCCTGCCGACTTCCCGCCTTTCCTCCCCGGGGTCGCTCACCTCCAGGCCCTCCCCGGCTTATTTACTCAGGGCTCCGGGGCTGCACCCCGCCCGCGGCTCCTTCGGGGGCGGGGCTGATCGAGCCGAGGCCCCGCCCCACGTTCGGACGTGGCTGGTGGTGATTGGTGAGGGCGGGGCCTGCCGCGGGGGTGGGGCTTACAGGTTTGGCCCCCGCGGGAGCGCGGCTGGCGCTGCTGGGAGCGGGTGTAGCAGCGCCGGTCCTGACCGAGTGTGGCGCAGCAGTGGCGGCGCTTCCCGTTCGTCAGGCACCGGGGGTGGGTCCCTTAAGGTAAGCGTGTGGCTCATCGAGCTTGCTTGAGGAAACCTGGCGGAGAGCACCCCTGGCGCTGCGCGGGCCAGGTGGGGGGACCCCGCGGGCGCTGGAGGCAGGTGTGGCGTGGTCTGACTGGCCCGGTGCCATTTCCGCGCCCAGTAGGAGCACAGGGCGGGGCGGCGCGCCAGCGGCCCCTCCTGTGAACCCCTGAGAGGAGACGCCGGGTCTACACCTGGGCGTGCTGCAACTTCGCGGCACCCATTCACTGCACTAGCTGCGAGACAGAAAACGTTTGAGTTCCACTCACACCCCTTCCCTCGAGAAGCCCTAGGTACTGTCAAGTTTGTATATCCTTAAAATCTATTTCTAGTTTGTGGTTCAGGACTGGAGGAGACGCCCCATAGTGAGCTTGCGGTGGGGCTTTACTTTGACTTTGTGTTACGCAGTTTGTAAGGAAAGTGTAGTAGAAACAGGACTGTTATTTAAACATGGACAGCAAGGGTTACGTAGGGAATGTATCTTGGAGATGAAGCACACAGGCTTTAGCGCCAGAATCATGGTTTATGAATCTACTTATTAACTGCGAAAACTTGGGCAATTTGCTTAACTTTTCTATGCCTTCGTTTTAGCGTATGTAAAATGGGGATAATGATAGTTCCAACCTTACTGCAGTTTTTGAAGATTAAATGAGTTAATAACTGGCTCATAGTCCACAATAAACGTTGGCTGTTTTCTTTATCATGCATTCAGATGGGCATTAATCTCCAGAATTGTCATCACCAGAAAACCTACGTGTTTTCTTTCCTTACAGCTGTTGCTAGAAATGCTTGGGGATTCCTTTTGAACAGTTCTCTTAGACTGAGTAAGACGAGAAAGGGTTTCTACTTTTCTTTCACTAGGGGTGTTATCTGATGTGATCATCCACTTTGTTCTAAATCACATCCACAGAAACCTCAGTCTTGAAGGCTGTTCTAAAACAGCGATGAAAAAAGAGGCAGCACCTTTAGGGTGAATGTAGCCTCATTTTAAGCACCAACTTAAGGTGGCTTTGTTTAAAAGCAGTTCATATCGCTTTATACAGAACTTTTAAGTTGTGCTATTTTGGGTGGATGCTTCTTTGTACTATTATTGCAAAACTAAGTAAACCAGAGCACCCTCGATACATAAATAAACATCATAGGAACCATAGCTTGCTGCAGAGAATCTCAGAATGGAAGGAAGCTGAAAAATCAGACCAGCTGGTCTTTATAGATAAGGATGAGGCCAAAGACTCAGAACCAATAAATGGCAGAGCTTAGGCTAGAATTCAGCTTTGCTGATCAACAAAGTATAAAATCAAAGGATAATATTATTTCTAGTTTTGATGATAGTTACTATCTTTGACAGTTTTATGGTGCTGTGAATGGCTTTCCTCTCCAGCAGTATACTGCTTGGTAGCTTAATTGCATGATTCATAATCATTCTTCAGTACCTTTGATTTAAATCACAAGTCTCAAAGTTGCTACATCAATTATTGCTTTGAGAGCAAGATGATTGTCTTTTTAGGCTTTGTACAAACATGTTCTAATGTGCTTTGGTTTTGTCGTTTTGAAATGCAGCCCTTTTCTTCTATGTAGGTAATGTAAACAGCCAGTATAAACAAATTGACCCACTAGGCAGTTTGTTATCGCTGTTTTATTGGTGAAGTTTTCTTGATTGGGTAGGATAGAATCAGGAAATGGAACCCTGAATGCTCACCCAAGGAAATAGGATTGGGTCCCAAAGAGATATGTCGCAATGTAGCTGCTAACTTCAAAAGGATTGTGGAATGAAATTATTTTGAGATATTGTTTTGTTAGTTGCTGACTCTTCTTCAGGTATTTGTTTAGATGTTATCTTCCTATTTTAAATTGCATACAATACCACACTTACATATTTACCTATTTATTTACTTATTCATTATCTGTTGTCTGGTAAGTTCCATATGGATAAAGGTGTTTGCCAGTTGTGTTCACTGTTGTATCCTAAGTGCTTGGAAATAGTGCCAGGTACACAGAAGGTACCAAATTCATGGATCTGATGCAGACATTTCCAACAAGACTAGTAGTTACTTAAGCCAATTCACTGTCATTTTGCCCTATTTTCCCCTCCCTCCATTTTATTTATTCTTGGTTACCCAGGAATAAAATCTTGAGGCAATGTGAATTCTTTAGTCTACTACCTTTGTATCCCACATGCAAATAGCTTCCAAATTATTTCATCTTATTTTTTCTTTCTTTTTTTTGCACACAGAAAATAATTTGGTTCCAACGCATTCATCTCATTTTTTTTTTTTTTTACAAACCAGCCTCTCCTGTTATTGCCAAGCCCATTTCTTCGTTCCCTTCCATTTAATTTGACACCTGCAGCCCTGCCTTTTCAAATGCCTTCACATCCTTACCTGCAGAACGAAATCCAGAGTGAATAGCCTGACATTCAGAATTCTCTGCAACATGATTTCAAACCCACTTTTCAGGTTGTATCTCCTGTAGATGAAGAGAGTGAGTTCCAGTTTAGGTTTGTAAATGTGACTGTAGAATAAAGCTTTAAGATGATTCCCTATAAAATCCCAAGATGAGTGTTGCTTCATGACAGTTTCTCTTTCTGTTTTTATTGATGGGTTGATCTTTTTCTCTGATGTGGGCAGGGATTTAGGCATACTGAACCAATGGCTGTTCCTTGTTTGTAGGGAGGACTTCTGCTGCTCTTTCTGTTTTGAGTTCTCATTCTTCAAACCTTCCTCTCATACGGCCTCTGCCACCCCCTGCCAAATAGCTAGGTAAGTTCAGTTAAAAGTGGTTTTTCTTTCCTCTGAATGCTGGTGACATAGAGAATTTAGCACAGTCTACTTTGAATTCTAATTCTTTGGGCATTTTGTCTTTTCTTTATTGCTTCATGGACAAGAAACATGCATATACACATTTCAATTTATTTTAGAGGAAAAATAAAACCTACACCTGCTTATCTGCTTTTTAAATAAACGTGAACTTAAATTCTACCAAACAGACCTTTAAATTGTTAAGTATTTGGAAAGCATCTTGAAAAGAAATTAAAAAATTTTAAATATTGAGCTTCAACAACTATTTCTACAGTGTAGACAAATGAAGATGACAGGAGAAAGTCAGTACTAAGTAAAAAGATGCAAATGAAGACACTGAGGTCTGGATTTATAGAGGGGAGTGGGTGTAGGGAGAGCAGCATTCCAATACCAATGTGGATGGACAGGTAGATGTTTTTAAAAGTACACAGTAAAATCAGGAAACCATCAGGAGAGGACAACTTTATGGAACAATGTCTGTAGCTTTGGATTTTGTGGAGAATTATTCCTAAGCTATATTTTGTTTTTGTATCCCTGGGCACTTGTAATACTGTTTCTTTTCTTTGTTTCTATACCGGATAGGACTGAAGATTCTATTTCTGTCTGGTGTGCAGAAAGTAATTTACTTTCTTTCATTGTTTAACATAAAAAAAAGTTTATACCTTTTTTTCTAATTGATTTTCCTGGATATATGGAGAAAGGTATATATGCCAGAAGTTTTTAGTCCTTCAGAAAAAGGTGGTAGATATGAGATACTTGAGTTTCACTATTGTTGAAGTTTACAGTTTTACTAAGTTTGATATCAGCATTTGATTTAACACATTTCGCTGAACTTTATATTACAAGCATATCCTTGCACATATTCCAGTTAATTATTTTATTTTACTTGTGACTCTTCTAGATTATAACTTGACTCAAGAACTTGTGTAAATGCTTCTGTCATTTAATTTTATCTTTTCTCCTGTGGCCTTCCAAACCACAACTGAAGTTTTTCCATTCTAGGGCATACATGAACTTATTTTCATTGTTTTTTATTTCAGGTCTTATAGGTCTAAATTTATTTGACCATTCCTGGTATGAAGCAGCAGTTTCTGTTGTTAGGTGGGGGGAAAATATATATAATAAATAAAATAAATATGTAGTTTCATATATATGTGGGTGTAGGGGGAGCATATATATACATACAGATATGCATATATATGTGCCTTAATTTTTGAAATGTTAAATTTTAAGATAAAATTCTGCATGTTGTCTTTACTAATGACATAACCAGTGTAAGGTCAGGATTTGGAATTAAGTAGTATTACTTAAATAAGTATTATAATTTAAATATGTAATTGTAATTTTTGTACTTTAGGTAATTTTCACTAATGTGCCAATTAATAGTTTTAGTGTTGGAAGAATTCTGGAAGCAAATATTTAAAGTTTCCTATGTCACACTGCGTGAGCATCTGTGTTTACCCTGAGTTCTTGATTTTATAAAGCCTTAGTTAAGTGTGTTATCAGATAGACTCATTCATAAAAATAATAAAAGATGAGGGTATGGATTGCTGATATACTCCCAGCACATGGTAAACACTACGTATCATTAAATAAGTAAGTTGATATTTTTAGGGAAGATTTTATTAAGACATCATAGCATGTTAGTATCTATAGTACTAGCAGTGATCCCGTGAAGAGGCAGAAATTGATGATTCAGGAGACCGATGAAGGAATAATGAGGCGCTGGTCACTGAAGCTCTCACTAGCACACGTTGGCAAGTTGGAATTTCTAAATGTCTCTCTCCACCTGTTGAATAAATCAATGAAAGGTTTTATTAGGGCCTTTTAAGTGCATGGCAGTCAATAATTCACAGTTCCTACACATTAGTCAGGGAGGCTTTCAGTAAGCAAGCAAATGCAATCCTAGTTGCAATCCATAAATGCTGAAATGGAAATAAACAGCATGATGAGGGAAGATTAACTTGGGAGGGGAGCACATTAAGGTGGTTATGAAGTTTGTTGGAAGAAGTGACTTTTGAACAAGGCCTTGATGATGTTGAAGAGCTGATGGGAGTGTCCCAGCTAGAGGAGCCAGTGGTATAAGAGAAGAGATGGGAGAAGGCGTGGAATGTGTGTGAAATAGGAAGGAAGTTGTAGTGATCAAATTGGTGAGAGGCCCTGGTGGGCACAGCTGGAGAGTTATGCAGAGTAACATTAAGCCCTGTGGGGGATCGTAGACTGTCAGCAATAAAACACAGTTTGGATTTTATTCTAAGGTTAGTAGGAAGCCACGTAAAGGGTGTAAGCAAGGAGTGAGATTACCAGATTTACAGTGATAAAAATAAATTGGTTTGGCTACTGGGGAAAAAATGGATTAGATGGGGTTTAGAATGGAAGCAGAGAGCAGATTAGAGGTTCTCCCAAGAGACTCTTTGAGACTTGATGGTGATTTTTGGGTTTTGTTTTTTGTGCCTTCGCAATCTGAATTCTGCTCACCTCTTCAGTTCAGAACCAGCTTGACCCCAGGCCCCATCACTCTGCCAGTCACCACAGTCCTCTAGGAATTGGCCTTGGGAGTGTTGTATGCTCACATCTGCTTGTAAGATATGCTTGGAGTGTACCTACAAATTGAAAAGCTTGGGAGTTTTGGAATAGAGCAGGCATTCTCATGGTTGGGAACCTGGGGAGGCAGAGAAGGATAGGACAGCCTTGCTGCCACTGCTACCATCTCTATCTGTTGGTTCTGGACCAAGTGGAGGGATATTGCATGGTTGGAGTAAATTTAGGGCCTTTCTCCTTATCCTAGCAGTATTTTGTTTTTTGTTTTTTAAAAAAACAGGAGTACATTGGTGCAATCATAGCTCACTGCAGCCTCAAACTCCTGGACTCAAGCTATCCTCTGGCCTCAGCCTCCTGAGTAGTTAGGATTACAGACATGAACCACCATGCCTGGTTAATTTTAGCAGTTTTATTCTAATATGGAGAAAACAAAGGACTATCAGTGATTACTTCCACTTCCTCACCCAGGCCCTTCTCTAAATGTCTGTAATAAAAATGGAGCTGGTTTCAACTAATCAGCAGGCTCATATGACTTTAGTTGAGGTTCTTGGACAATCCTCTCAAGTTGTTGGTGCACAACACTCTTCTTCAATATTGTTTTAGTGTCAACACTAGCTATTTTGCATATACTTCATTTTTAATTCATATATCACTTTTATCAAGAATTAGATAAATAAAACGTGCTTAAATAGAGATGTAGTCCCTTTGTAGGGACATAGATGAACCTGGAAACCATCATTCTTAGCAAACTGACACAAGAACAGAAAATCAAACACCGCATGTTCTCACTCATAGCCGGGTGTTGAACAATGAGAACACATGGACACAGGGAGGGAAGCATCATACACTGTGGTCTGCCCCGGGGGAACTCGGGGAGGGACAACGGGGAGTGGGTAGTTAGGGAGGGATAACATGGGGAGAAATGTCTGAGATAGGTGATGGGGAGGAAGGCAGCAAACCACACTGCCATGTATGTACCTATGCAACAATCTTGCATGTTCTTCATATGTACCCCAAAAACCTAAAATGCAATAAAAAAAAAACAGATGTAGTAAACGTGGAAAAACTGGGACTGCTTTGTGATTATAGAATGATGGAAAAATCAAAGATGGGGGTGGAGTGGGAATTACAGGAAGGATGTATCAGGAAGGAAAACAGGAAAAGTTGTAACTGATTCATCATGTGATGGGTGAGGGGAGGGGAGAAAGTTACTATGTATCTTTCATTGGCAGAGCCTGTTGATTTTTAAAAAATCTATTCTGCAGTGAATTTAATTTACATATGTGACAAAGATGTCCTTTGTTTCTGTTGAAACATTTGGGATGTGTTTGGAGCTGGTATCCTGAAAGGCAGAAGTAAACAGATACAGATTATATATACTCTTACAGTAGACTTTTAGTAAAGTAATCGGTTAGTTTGGGGTTAAAATTTGCTGGGAAGATACTTTTAAATGTAATTTAAAATGAAACTATTTTTAGGGTCTGTTCCTTTCTCAGAAATAATCGCCATCCCCAATTCCTTTTCTTACTTACTGGGTCAATTCCCCTTACCATGCCCAGGGTATGTTTATGGCTTTTTTTTTTTTTTTAGACTTTTTTTTTCATAGCCAAATTAGGAAAGTACAGAGTTCCTATGTATCCCTGCTGCCACACATGTACAGCACCCCCCATCGTCAATATTCCCCACCAGAGTGGTACATATGTTACAATTGGTGAACCTATATTAACACATCATAATAACCCAAGATTTCATTAGGGTTTGCTCTTGGTGTTGTACATTCTGTGGGTTTGGACAAATGTATGATGACATGTGTCTATCATGATGTCGCAGAGTATTTTCACTGACTTTAAAAATCCTCTGGCTGAGCGTGGTGGCTCATGCCTGTAATCCCAGCACTTTGGGAGGCAGAGGCAGGTGGATTACCTGACATCAGGAGTTCGAGACCAGCCTGACCAACATGGTAAAACCCTGTCTCTACTAAAAATACAAAATTAGTCTGGTGTGGTGGTGTGTGCCTGTAATCCCAGCTACTCAGCAGGCTGAGACAGGAGAATTGCTTGAACCTGGAAGGTGAAGGTTGCAGCAAGCCGAGATCGCGCCATTGCACTCCAGCCTGGGCAACAAGAGTGAAACTCCTTCTCAAAAAAAAAAAAAAAAAAAAATCTCTGCCTATTCATTGTTTCACCTTGTACCCCAACCCCTGGCAGCTGCTGATCTTTTTACTGTTTTCATAGTTTTGCTTTTTCTAGAATGTCATATAATTGACACTTTAAAGCCTTTTCAGATTGGCTTCTTTACAGTATAAAGCCTTTTCAGATTGGCTTCTTTCACATAGTGATATGCGTTTAAGGTTTCTCCATGTCTTTTTATGGCTTGATAGCTTATTTCTTTTTAGCACTGGAAAACATTTCATTGTTTGGATGTACTACAGTTTATTATTCACCTATAGTAGGGCATCTTGGTTGCTTCCAAGTTTTGGCAATTATGAATAAAATTGCTGTACATATCAATTTACAGGTTTTTGTGTGCATGTAGCTTTTAACTCCTTTGGGTAAATACCAAGGAGTGCAACTGCTGGATTATATAGTAAGAATATGTTTAGTTTTGTAAGAAACTGCCAAACTGCCAGGGTGGCTGTACCATTTTGTGTTCCCACCAACAGTGAATGAGAGTTCCTACTATTCTCTATCCTCACCAGCATTTGGTGTTGTCAGTATTCTGGATTCTGACCATTCTAAAAGGTATGAGTTCTTTGTATATTTTGGGTAACAGTCCTTTATTGGTTGTATCTTTTGCAATTTTTTTTTCCAGTCTATGGTTTGTCTTCTCTTTCTCTTCATATTCTTTCATGAATTGTCCCTTTGGTGTAGTATTTGCAAAATCATCACCATACCAGTGGTCATCTAGTTTTGTGTGCTCGTGGTTTATTCTTATTTTTATTTTTGTTTTTTGAGACAGGGTCTTGCTCTGGTACCCAGCCTGGAGTGCAGTGATGGATCTTGGCTCACTGCAGCCTTCCTGGGCTCAAGTGAGTCTCCCAACTTAGCCTCCTGAGTAGCTGGGATTACATGTGTATGCCATTGTGCTTGGCTAATTGTTTTTTGTTGTTGTTTTTGTTTTTGATGGAGATGAGGTCTCCCTATATTGCCCAGGCTGGTCTTGAACTCTTGGACTCAAGCAGACCTCCTCCCTCAGCCACCCCAAGTGATGAGATTAAAATCTGAACCATTGTGCCTGGCCATTTTCTTAGTTTTCTAGTACATTATATTCTAGGAATTTTATAGTTTTGCTTTTTTTTTTTTTTGAGACATGGTTGCCCAGGCTGGAATGCAGTGGTGCAATCTTAAGGCTAACTGCAGTCTTCACCTTTGCCTCCTGGGCTCAAGTGATCCTCTGGCCTCAGCCTCTCAAGTAGCTAGGACCACAGGTATGTGCCACCATGCCTGGCTAATTTTTAAATTATTTTGTGGATTCTGGATCTCACTGTATTTCCTAGGCTGGTATCGAACTCCTGGGCTCAAGGGATCCTCCTGCCTTAGCCTCCCAAAGTGCTGGGATTACAGGTGCTAGCCATTGGATGGCCTACTTTTGTAATTTATGTGCATGAATTTTCTTTTGTATCTTCCTTGACTAGCCCTGTCAGTGTCCTCCTTAAGGTGCCATTGTTTTCTTTCTTTCTTTATTTCTTTTTTTTTTGAGATGGAGTTTCACCCTATTACCCAGACTGGAGTGCAGTGGCATGATCTCGACTCACTGCAACTTCCACCTGCCAGGTTCAGGCGATTCTCCTGCCTCAGTCTCCCAGGTATCTGGGATTACAGGTACCCTCCACCACGCCTGGCTAACTTTTTATATTTTTAGTAGAGATGGGGTTTCACTATGTTGGCCAGGTTGGTCTCGAACTCCTGACCTCAGGTGATCCACCCACCTTGACCTCCCAAAGGGCTGGCATTACAGGCGTGAGCCACCACGCCCAGCCTAGGTGCCATTGTTTCTAAACACCCAGTACCCTGTTCCCCTGCTGAGGAAAACTTCTAGCTCTTCACAGCCCAAATTCCTTCCATTTGGGACAGGTTTGTTCTTATTTCCCTTTATGCCTTAGTGTGAATCACTGACTCACCCTCTCTGCTGTATTGGGTAAGAATGAGAAGTGATACGAGTCTATCTATCGTCTAATCCGAGTAGGGTCCCCTATCAGTCTTTATGATGAGTTAAGGAAATAGGGTTCAGAAATTCTGTTTATTTTTT